TCCATTTCCATGTTACTGATAAAATTGTTGAATCCCAGAAAGCTACTGTCATGTCTGATTAGACCTCCTGATTTTTCAGCTGAGTTGCAGAGGTCGTTCTAGTCTCCTGCTATAAACCAATGGAGCCCCCATTTTGATCTCTCAGCCTCTAGAATAGCCCATTGTTCTGCTCTAATCACTCTGCTGGTACTGGCATAAACAAATATTCCCCATTGCTTCTCTGAATCTGGCAATTGAAACTCCACAGCTATAAAGAAATTAGAGTTGTACATGTTGATGATAGTAACATGAGGGTCCCAGAGAAGTAGTAGTCCCCCACTTAGTCCTTGAGGATCCACTAAAGCATATCTATCATCATATCCCAGTTTTCTAATCACTGTCTTTACAAAGGCCTTTGTTTTCTTAGTTTCTGATAGAAAGAAGAAGTGTGGGTGGTGAGGCCTGATTGTCTCTCAGATTTGGGAGATTGTAGAGGTCCCACCCAGCCCTCTACAATTCCACACCGCAGCTAACATTTTACACCTTGGTGCCACTCAAGGCTGGCCACACCCACATCTTTAACTGTTGCCTTTGCCTTTTTACTTTTTACTTCTTCATTTTTTTTGATCTTCCTCTGAGCTGTGCCAAGTGGTATCCTCTTGTCTGTGTCTCTTGCCATGGACTGAGTTTTCTATTCTGATAGGAAACTCTATTTGCCTCTGTAATCTGCCCACCTTACTTCCAGTCCTTTTCCAGGTTTTGCCAAGACTCTTCTCAATAGGGTGAATAGAATCTTGGGTAGTCTGAATAGGTACAGTTGTGTCTGGATCCTCTTCTCCAAGCTCCATTTCCCCATGAGGATCCTCTGATTGATTAGCAGTTATCACCTCTTTATTTGGTGAATTCTCTTTAAGGCCTGTAGCTGTTGACTTCAAAGTTGGTATTGAGTCTGACTGATGAATGATGAGTTGCTTATCTTTGTCTTGTTGACTGGAAGAAGTATTATGAGATGAACTGCGGTTGTTGGCATAAAGGTTAGGAGAGCATGGAGGAATCCTTGAACCAGATGGACTAACTTCGACCCAATTTTGTCCCTCCGGTGCCTTAAGCCAGTCTCCAAACTGCCCTTCCTTCAAGGTCTTCGTTTTAATATCATCCATCCTTCTTTGGCAATCTCTGTCTAAATGACCAATTTTGTCGCAATAATGATAGAGGTATACCAACTTCTCATATCCGAAACTAACAGTGACTACTTGATCCCCAAGCCTTATATTTGCACACCTGGGGAGAGCCTCTGAAAGGTTTATAGTAACTAAATCTGATTATTCTTCCTCTGTGATTTCCAGAGCTTACAATCTCCACATTTTTGACCTCATTGAATACACTGCCTATTTTGAGGCCTACTTCTGTGCTGAGCCAATTCAAAGGAATATTTAATACCTGAACCCATATGTTAAGGCTGTCAAAACATGGATGTTTGCTTGACAGTCCATCTTTCCATTCTGATAGAATAAGGTATTGAATTTCGAAACTCCAGTTGGTGCCTCTCAATACATTCTTGGGGTCTTCCTTGTTCTGAAAGATGAACTGAAAATAATTATGCCCCAACTCTTTCGCCTCCATTGGTTGTGAGAGCTTCCAGATGTGATTCATTGTTCTTTTGAGCCCGATCCAACTTGCTTTCCTGTCCCCAACAATTTTCCCAAAAAGGCTACGTTGGCATTCATCCTCGCTAATTCGAATGTCTGCCTGAGCTATATCAATGAGGTTCGCTTCCCTATCTGATAAGGAGAAATTGCCAAGTCGTTGAGAGAGTTCCTCATCCTCGACATAGTGCTGAGATTCACCCATGATCGATCAATCAATCAGCTCGGTTCCGAGAAGGTAAACCCTAGCTGTATAAATTTGGGAAAATTTCAGAAAATTGGTAGAGCACTTTCTAAATGGGATCAAAGAAGATTAGAATCGTGAATATGAGATGAATAAATTGAAGAAATGGACGGAAGGATTGAGCAAAATGAATTGAAAATGGTTCGCTCTCAATCGAGAGAATCGCCGCCTTAACTCCCAAACGAGAGAATCGATTATTTTTATTCTCCTAGTTAATTAATTAATATGGAATAAAATTAATTTTTATTTAATGGAATTAAATAATAAAACATCCCACTAGAGTAATATTATTGCTCTCCCCACTTAGCCACTATTTTACCAATAAAATCGAGCCTCCATGATTAAATAATATTAATTTGATTGATCGATTTACCTCCCTATGTTTAAGATATAACGTCCGTTGATTAATTAAATTACTGACAAAATAATTAATCAACTTTTTATTCATTTCCGAAATTAGTACCACTCAGACTTTAACAATTATGTCAGACAATCGTCTACCTGCAGGGTTTAACATAATGTTCCTTCATGAGCTCATTTCGGGGACGTCATCAATCCTGCGCACTGGAACATAGTGACCGTAAATAATATATAATAGCACATTTGATGGGTCTGCTCTCAGATCTGGAACGGTTTGGCAAGAAAACGTCCGGATCTGGGATGAACCGGTATGAACGAGCTTAGATCTGGCCTGATGACCTTCGAGCCGTTGGTGAATCGTACGAACACCTGCAAGAACTCAACGCCGGAGGATTTTTCCGGCGTAGAGCCTCCGACGCTCAAGTCAGTATGTGAGAGAGATGATGGGAGCTGCTATCAGAGCAGCAGCAGTAATAGAAATGTATGGAAATGAATGGGAGTTAGGGTTTTGAGATTACCTCAGTCCTTTATATAGGAGTACAATATATACCTGAAGTCTCCAAAATGCCCTGGCCGACTTAAAGGAAATGTCCAGAATACCCCGGTCGGTTCATATTCCGCCTACTTCCTAGTCAGCATCTAGATCCTTCCTTAGCTTCCTTCTTATCCTTAACTTTCCTTCAATATGCGGAGGTGTGTCAAAGCTATCGGACACCTCGAACTGCAAGACTCCTTCAGTCGACTTGAGGTATCGAATCGAGTCGACTGGATCGCATTCCATCATTAATGGTCCCTGATTCGTCTGATCGCTGTCGGGGCATATGTCGACTCGTTCCAGCCGACGGATATATGTCGACTCGGTCGAGAGCCGGGCTTCTTGATTGAATACTATGAAACCCTACCGGCGGGGTCGACTGTGTTATAGTCGACTTTGGCAGTTCCGAACCATGATGATATGAACCGCTATGAGCCGATTGTGACCCTGCGTCACTGAACCGTGGCACGATAGTATGGCTATATCAACATCATATAATTATTCTTACTTACTAAAATACCTCGTATGTCATGCTATTAAAATAGGAATCACTTGGTAAATCAAATAAATAAGAAATAAAAATATATGCCTATTTTATATTATCTTACAGCTTAAGAGAACGCATCAATCACTGAAGGTCTAGGTTACGACAACGGTCAGTGAGTCTCATATCCTTATCCTTCTGTGGTCCTGTACAACACTTAACATAAGTGCTCTTGTAATCCTTCAGTCAAAGACCAACTGAATCGAGAATACACTATAGTCTTTTTCCTTGTGGGGTCTCACTGCCAGTCTAGGCTGTGAACAAATAGTTTAGTCTTATAAGGAACCGATAGGTGATCTTTCTGTTCGAAACTCTTCGAACCACACTACCTCAATATAAGACATTTAGTATGTCTTGCATAAATTAATAAACTGGAAACATATGTACTTTGACCGAAACATGATTGCCAGATCAAAATGAAATTGATAGAATCTGCAAAATATAGCTTTTACAGCATACCTTTAACAATCTCCCACTTATGATTTATAAGCTCATGGCTAAACAAAATAACCACAATTTCTTTCAATCTAATTCTCAAAGACTAGTCTACTATGTTGCACTAACATCTGACTCCCATTCCTTCTACGTGTCTCGTAAAGACTTTCGTCGGTAGGCTCTTCGCAAAAGGATCTGCTCGGTTGTCCTCTGATTGTATCTTGGCAACAACGACTTCTCCTCGTTCAACGATTTCTCGTATCAGGTGGTACTTGCGCTCTATGTGTTTACTCGCTTTATGAGTCCGTGGCTCCTTCGAATTTGCTACTATTCCGCTGTTATCACAAAACACTGTGATTGCAGCCGGCAAACTCGGTACCACATCAAGGTCGAGGAGAAAATTCCTGAGCCAGACAGCTTCTTTCGCTGCCTCTGAGGCTGCTACATACTCAGCCTCCATGGTTGAGTCCGACACGCATTTCTGCTTGACACTCCTCCATACTATGGCTCCTCCTCCTAAAGTAAACACAAACCCTGAGGTTGACTTGCTTTCGTCCCGGTCTGCCTGGAAGTCAGAATCGGTGTAACCCAACGGAAGCAATTCATCTGCCTGGTAAATCAACATGTACTCCTTAGTCCTACGTTGGTACTTAAGTATATGCTTTACCGCAGACCAATTTTCTGGTCATGGATTACTCTGATATCTTGCTACCATGCCCACCCGGGATAACAAATATCAGGTCGCGTGCACAATATAACATACATGAGGCTTCCTACTGCCGATGCATAAGGAACTGCCTTCATGTCCTCTATCTCTTGAGGCGTCTTCAGAGACATCCTCTTAGATAGAGGTATTCCATGCCGAAAGGGTAAATCCCCTTTCTTGGAATCCTGCATGTTGAAACGCTTTAGGACAGTGTCTATGTATGTGGATTGGGATAGGCACAACTTTCTCTTCTCTCGGTCGCGAATGACCTTAATTCCGAGATCATGTCCTACTTCACCAAATCCTTCATATCAACCTGCTTGGATAGCCATCCTTTATGTTTGATAACATCTTCACACTGTTTCCAATGAGAAGAATATCATCCATGTACAGCACTAGAAACACCACCACATTTCCATCACTTTTTTTGTACACACAATGCTCATCCGGACATTGGGTAAATCCATACGATTGACAACCTCGTCAAAATGGATGTTCCAAGACCTCGAAGCCTGCTTCAGCCCATAAATGGACCTCTTCAGCTTGCAGACCAGATGCTCTTGGCCCTTTGCAATGAATCCTTCTTGTTGCTGCATATAGATGTCCTCGTCCAAATTCCCGTTAAGGAAAGCGGTCTTAACATCCATTTGCCAAATCTCATAATCCATATGAGCGGCCACAGTCAAGAGAATCCTGATGGATTTGAGCATGGCTACCGGTGAAAAGGTTTCCTCATAATCGATCCCTTCTTTCTGAGTGTACCCTTTCGCAACAAGCCTAGATTTGAAGGTCTCAACCTTCCAATCTGCTTCTCTCTTTCTCTTATAGACCCACTTACATCCAATAGCGCGAACGCCACTGGGTGGCTCTACAAGATCCCAGACCTGATTAGTGTCCATTGACTCTATTTCAGATTTCATCGCCTTTTGCCAAGACTCTGCGTCCCGATATTTGAGTGCCTCATTGTATGTCCATGGGTCGGATTCAAGAACGTCTGGGATGTCCTCAAAAGACTGTCCCAGACCCATGAACCGTTCGGGCTGCCGGACAACCCTCCCACTACGACGAGGTACTACCTGCTTAGGTGCATCATCAGCGATACGTGTTGCAGTACTTTGTGGTGTAACTAGCGCACTCGGTATTGAAGTACTCACTCCCTTTAACTCCTCAAGAACATGTCTACTACTGGGTTTATGATCTAAGACATAGTCTTCTTCCAAGAACCTAGCATTCATGCTAACGATTACTTTCTGGTCCTCGGGTCTATAAAATAGACCACCTTTCATTTCCTTAGGATATCCCACAAACAACCTTACTTCTGATCTCGGTTCCAACTTATCAGTATCGGTTCTCAGCACATGTGCTGCATTACCCCAAATCCTGAGATGCCTTACACTAGGTATATGCCCAGACCACAACTCTGATGGTGTAGATGGTACTGATTTAGAAGGTACTCTATTCAGAATGTACACCGCCATTTCTAGGGCATATCCCCAAAATGAATCTGGTAAACTACTATAACTCATCATTGCCCTAACCATTTCCATAAGAGTCTTGTTCATCCGTTCTGCTACGCCATTCTGCTGAGGCGTGCCAGGCGCAGTCAGCTGGCACGTAATCCCATTATCCGTCAAGTAGTTCCTAAATTCATTCGAGAGATATTCACCACCACGATCGGATCGTAATGACTTGATACTTTTTCCTAACTGCTTCTCCACAACTGCCTTATACTCCAAGAACTTCTCAAAGCATTCAGACTTGCGGTGCAGAAGAAAAATGTACCAATATCTCGAGTAATCATCGATAAACGTAATGAAGTACTTGAAACCACCTCTCTCTTCAATACTCATAGGACCACATAGATCGGAGTGAACTAGCCCTAACACATCTTCGGCACTATGCCCCTTTGAACTAAAAACCCTCTTAGTCATTTACCTTCCAGGCAAGACTCACAAGTTGGAAAAACCTCGACTTCTAAAGACCCCAAGGGCCCGTCTGCTACCAACTTTTGAATCTTTCTAAGGTTAATATGACCAAGTCTTATATGCCAAAGATATGTTTGGTTCATTTTAGAAGGTTCCTTTCTCTTATTCAGATTAGATGATGAATTAAGTAAATGTTTCTGTTGCAGTGGAGATGACTTAGATTCTAGAATGTATAGATTGTCAACCAATGAACCAGAACATATGAACTTTTTGCCAAAATGAATAACAACTTTATTATCAAACATAGTGGAAAAATCGTTCATAAACAACTTAGAAACTGAAATCAAATTCTTTCTAAAACTGGGAACATAAAGACAATCTTTCAAAACTAGAAACCTATCTAAGCCAAAATCTAAATAGACGTCTCCCACTGCAACTGCTGACGCTCTACTAGCATCGCCCAAGTAGATGGTAACTTCTCCTTCCCTAAGTCGCTTGATTTCCTGGAACCCCTGCAATGAATTGCAGACATGATCAGTGGTCCCTGTATCTACACACCAGGTACTGGTAGATAACACTGCTAAACATGTTTCAGCTGTTAGAGGTATGCTGTAAAAGCTATGTTTTGCAGATTCTATCAATTCCATTTTGATCTGGCAATCATGTTTCGGTCAAAGTACATATGTTTGCAGTTTATTTATTTATGCAATACATACTCCATGTCTTATATTGAGGTAGTGTGGTTCGAAGAGTTTCGAACAGAAAGATCACCTATCGGTTCCTTATAAGACTAAACTATTCGTTCACAGTCTAGACTGGCAGTGAGACTCCACTTGGAAAAAGACTGTAGTGTATTCTCGATTCAATTGGTCTTTGACTGAAGGATTACACTGGCACTTATGTTAAGTGTTGAACTGGACCGCGGAAGGCAAAGATTATGAGACTCACTGTCCGTTGTTGTAACCTCGTCCTTCGGTGATTGATGCGTTCTCTTAAGCTGTAAGATAATATAAAATAGACATATATTTTTATTTCTTATTTATTTGATTTACCAAGTGATTCCTATTCTATTAGGATGCCATACGAGGTATTTTGGTAAGTAAGAATAATTATATGATGTGCTATTATAGATTATTTACAAACACCATGTTCCAGTGCGCTGGATTGATGACGTCCCCGAAATGAGCTCAGAAAGGAACATTATGTTAAACCCTGCAAGTAGACAATTGTCTGACATAATGGTTAAAGGCTGAGTGGTACTAATTTCGGAAATGAATAAGAAGTTGATTAATTATTTTTTCAGTAATTTAATTAATCAACGGACGTTATATCTTAAACATAGGGAGGTAAATCGATAAATCAGATTAATATTATTTAATCATGGAGGCTCAATTTTACTGGTAAAATAGTGGCTAAATGGGGAGAGCAATAATATTACTCTAGTGGGATGTTTTATTATTTAATTCAATTAAATAGGAATTAATTTATTCCATATTAATTAATTAATTAGGAGAATAAAATTCCTACTAGAATCTTCTCTTGGGATTAGGAGACTTGGGAGTCTTCTAGAAGATGAAG